GCATGAGGGCAGGAGAGCGCTTGCGTGCTGTATCGCTGCATGAAGTGCACCATGTCCCCACTAATGTGTCACACGTGACAATGTTCTTCTAAACGTGAATACCAAGCCTCATGAAGCCATCATCAAGTACAACGCAGTTCCTATCGCTTGAAGTTTGAACCTTGCTCACTTCGCATTCTACTGACGTTCTCACTGAGCCCCCACCGAAGTACGTTGGTAGCTCTAACGCTCTACGGCGTACTTTCCCCACAACACTGTAGGGTTCACGTGTTAAAGGCTCGCTTTTCACGGCGCTGTGAATTGAATTCTATCAGACCCATGTCGGTGAGTCCGGAACCAAACGGAAGAATACGTAAGTTGTTCAGTGCATTAGCAAGGAACATTATTCACATAGATAAGACAGTAGTATTGGCCTTATTCCTCGGAAGAACCAGGGGAATAGAGATGTAGTTATGTTGATGCCTCGGCAACATGCCTTTATCGAAATAATTGCAGAAACAATGTCAACCTAACTATATCTCCATTCTTCTGGTTTTTCCGAGGAATAAGGCTAATACTACTCTCTTATCTAGGGCAAACGGAAGATTGTTTTATTGTCTTGAGACAATCAATTCACTGTCTTTTGTCTAGGGAACCCACACTCCCATAGCGCACCGGGTCAAAGGTTGCCTGCACGGTACGCTGTGAATTCATCGACGCACAGTACAGTGGCATTGTTTGTGACACGTGCAGCGGTCTCAGTCGCTGAATCGGTAACGAGCTTGATCCATAATAGAAGAGCTGTGTGTACGGAGCCGGGGCCCGCTAAAAATTGTCTACCAGTTCCCGACGGAACATGCTGGATTGTTTGCTAGCGGTTAATACATACTGTCAGCGCGATGTAATATAGAGTAGAATGCACTGAAAGATACCTGTAAAATTATAAACACAACAGGCATTCAAATTTTGTACATTAACTATTGTGGCACCTGTGCCACGCTACCCTTAGTTAACGGCTACCTTTAGTTAACCTTTACCTTTAGTTAACGGTTTAGTACAACTTAGAAATCTAGCCCACATCGCACACGTCGGGTATTTCTAGTTCAATACTGCAGTTCTTTTTGTACTAAGCTTCGTTCTACCCGTTATCTAGAACCCTGGTTCACATTATCCCTGTGTTCTCCTGATGCTTAATCATGATCATCCCGCCTCACCTGGGAGAGACGCTTAATCATCCTGGCGTATGCATGATAATATTCTGTCTGTGCACATGATCCTTCTTTGCTGATGCATGACCTTTATAGTCTCTGATACTTATTCTCCGTTCTTGCCACTCAGTTGGTCAAATATTGGACACGTTAGGCAAAAAAATTACATTTTTTTAAAACCCAGAAACGGTACGATCTAAACTCAATTTGCCGTACTTAGAATTGCTCGGAGGCTCTTCTCAACCGTATGTGGCAACGAATCTTGTGAAAAAATTTGATATTCGCGAATGCGGGAATCACATCACACTTAGGCGGTAGCATGCTCACTTCATAATTAAACTTTTTTAGGTCCTTCCTAGCTTAGCACCTGCAAATTCGAGTCAGTGAGATGGAATTTCGTTGCATTACCACGCGAGAAATAGTGTACACGAATAAATGTGAATACGCATGCAGGCAATGCGAAGAAATGTGTGCGCATACAGCTGTGTGTACGAAGAAAGGCGATACGAAGAATTTTGGTTACGAAGTTCTGCGTCGCAGAGATTTGTCCTCACGAAGTTTCGCGTTTATGAACATCTGCGTTAAAGACAGTATTGCACTTTTTTTACTTTTTCACTTATGGTTGCATCAGACGCGTACATTTTGATCAGTGATACCAGTTTTCTCGAAATCCTTCTGAAACGCTCAGAGCTTCGATTTGAAGTAGCTGACCCTGCGAGAGAAAGGTGGTTTGACTCCCTGCTCACCACTCCGAAACTAAAGCATTTCACTTCCCTTGCATTTCCCAACGTGTGTGTTCTGTAATATTTGCAGCATACTAATTCGTCAAAATGTTTGCGTAATACATACTACGAAAACTTGAAACACTATTTAGGCGAAACAATATTCGAGCTCGAAGCCATTATCCCGCAACTTTAACGAAACGTTATACTAAGGTTTTGATTTGTCTGCTATGGTGTTTACCAATGTGGCTCCCTTTCAGGTGCGATTTGGCGTTAGGAACAGGCTTATCACATGATTCATGTGATGTGCTGGTTCAAACTTCGACCAATGCGCTTCTCGGTAACAAGCGCTTGCCCGGTGGGCAGACCACAAACGTTCTTTTTATTCACACCATTAGAGATGCGCACGGTTGTTGCCGCGGCGACTGTAGTCGCGACTGCAGGTAAGAACCATGGTGCTGTTTCAAAGTGTTAAAGGCATAACTAGAACTCGAAGGTAATCAAAATTGATATCATGTCTTGCTGCTGCGATGCCGCAGAATCACTACCCAGTGTTGCTATTCTGGGATTTATTTACAGTGTTGCTATTCTGGGATTTATTAACTGGCCCGTAGGTTTCGCTGGAACATGTTTTGAAATATGCCCCAAAGATGGGACGCTCCCATTAACGACCGGTTGCGCTCGCGAACCTTAGCGATTGTGACGATTTTATGGAAATTTGGGTTCACGAAAATTTGCTTTACGTAGATTTATGCACGAAAAATGTTACACCATAATCTGCGATGCAGCGTTTTGCGTCCAGTTTTACGCACGGTGAACTGTGTCAAAAATAAACGCGTTATAATAAAATAAATGCGTTATGAATAAACGTTTACAAAAGCACGCGATGCGAATTTCTCTCCTGGAACCCAATGGACGATTCCGCTCTGGTATGCAATGTTTAGCTTGATTAATATAGAATCGCTTCCATGGACCAGAAAGATGATGCAATATTTGCCAGACAAGTCTGGAATGTCAATGGGCAAATGAATGCAGAAATATCTTGCTGCTGTATGGAAAGTAGGGGTGAAAGGTGCATTTTCTGTCACCGACGAAATTTGACCCCGTCTAGTCTGTCACCTGGAGCCAAAATTTTCAAAAACCGCTACATTATAACTCCAAATGCGTTACACCACGAAAACAGAGACAAATGAAATGCAATGCGGCATAACCATCAAACATTTTTGTTTTGCGAGCTCATTTGCACTAAAGTGTTGTTTGCCGGCCATCAAATACCGAATAATTGACACTTGATTGAGTGAAATTAGCAGATGAAGGCATGCTCAAGATAACCAGCCTTGTGGTGTGAAGTTTTTCACTCAGTTGTCAGGGGGGGGGGGACTGTGCCTCCTAGCCGGGG